TCGGCCCCTCTGGCCATCACCAGTAGGCGAAGTGTCTTGCCCAAGGACACAACGACCGAGACTGTCCGAGCCGGGGCTCGAACTGGCAACCTTCCGGTTACAAGATGAACTGCCAACTCTTTGAGCCACAATCACTCCAGTTCATCCCTGAATGTTTGCATAGTATTTCCACGTTAAACTTAACAACTGATATATTGAGCCACGGCTTGACTGGCCATCGGAGTTCCATATTGAGGTGAAAAGGAAGCGATTTGTCCCGTACTTCAGCTAGAATTAAAAAATAGACACAAAGCTGGAGTTATTCTGTCTTTGCTGCGCAGTTGCATCTACTTCTCTCATTCACTCCCCCTTCCTCTCCTGTTATTACTTCAAACATGAAACTGATCAATGATCAGCTGATCGGCTTTTCTGCCACAAGTCCCATCTTTCTTGTTTGTTTATCGCCCACTTTGCGCTAGAAAGAGGAAACCAGCGGATAAACAACACGCAGCGCGTGATAAGCTGTTGTTAGAATGTATTTAATATTACTTTCTAGTATCAGCTGAGGTTTGCTACTGGTAAAAGCTACTGGTCATGATATCCGTTTGGATATGTGGTGAGAGGGAAACATGAAGATGAAACCAGGAGATGTCCTTACTGAATCATCAGAGCTGAGCAGGTGATGGAGAAACAAGTTTACCTTTTAGGTGACATGAATGAGTTGAAGGGAAGTTATGAACTGTTTCTGAGAGAGAAATAGCACCAGGATCCTTTTCTACATAGCTGACGGCTGGTAACTGTGCAGGGGCGGGTCTAGCAAAGTTTTGTCGGGGGCCAGGTTGGGCATTAACAGGGAAAGGGGGGCACGAAGAAATACTTTTCTTTGTTATGTCATTTAAAAACTTTGAATAAATAATTATCTGAATCTTGCAACAAAAGTGGTCATCTGATTAAATGTATAGAAATCCATTATTGCATATATGTCTTGATGCATTTTCAATCATCCAGGAAAGTAAATCTCCAAAAGTTGATTCTGTTCATCTGGACGTAGCGTTTTGTGGGAGAAACGTTTCGTCACTCATCCAAGTGACTTCTTCAGTCTCATCTTACAATGCTGTGATTGCAGCCATTCTCCAACTCTCTGTGAATGGTACTCATGGCCATTGATCAGTGGGTTTTGGTCAGTGGTTGTTGATTAATGGTCATGAGAATTTGCATAATTAAGATTAAGGAACTGACCTCCTAGCCCATTGTCCCTTCAGTGGACTGGTTTCAGTCATCATGCAAATGTACTGTTTATAAGATTGGGGAAACCTGCAGTCAGCTGAGACTGAAGAAGTCACTTGGGTGAGTGACGAAACGATTCTCCCACAAAACGCTACGTCCAGATGAACAGAATCAACTTTTTGGAGATTATTGTATATAGTAACTAATAAGTCTACTATACACCCTAGTAAGCTATAGTACTTTTTCCTTTGGGAAGGAAAGGAAGTCTGCAATTCTGTTGAAGATGTTGAAGCTATTAAATTATTGTAGAAAAATAATTGATTTCTGTGCATTTGTTTTACACGTGCATTGTACACGTGAAGTCAGCAAAATGCAGAAATAATAAGATCTCTAAGACTCCACAAAATATCCGTAGTGGAAGTTTAATGCTGCACTTAGGGTGACCAGTCATCGTAGTGTGTGCAGGCATGTGTTATGCTTTTAATTATATTAAACAGATCTCATATATTGAGACAAGTTAGTGCATTTTGATTGGGTCTATAGCCCACAAAATCAATCAATCAAAATCAACCCCCTGGATCTCATCTAGTAGAAACTTGGAATGCTCCCTCCAAAAGAGTGCTTTTGAATTGATCAAAATGTGTACACATGGTATACGCAGTTTTAGAAAATCAAGAATTTAAGTCAAGTGTTTTCCAACCAGAAGTTCACAGTCTGATATGTTGTATGTTGTATTGATATGTTTTTACTTTATCTATATTCTTTAACATTTAATTAAACTTTTACTTAAAAAGGAAACACAGTGACTGCATTAGGCATGTAAATATGGACTGAAAGTGAATATAAGTTTTATGTCTGTGATTTTACTTCAGTATATGGGACATATAGTTCTATAAGAAGCATTTGAGTAAATGAAATGTTATTTATTGTCTCTGGATGGTACAGTCAATGTCACATATTTTGCTTGAGAAAGTGTAAAGAGGATAACCTAAAATAAGAGCAGAAACCACTTAAAACAATTCTTGTTAGTTTTTGAATTTATAGAGTACAAGAACATAACATAAATCTTAAAATATGTGGCTTTTCTTTCAGTGATATCGTTGGGCCATCCTCAGTTTCATTTATTCTTTTAGCAACCTGTTTTTTGTAGTGTAGGCTAATCTGATGATTACTGTTCATGAGCAACTGAGTTTAGTAAATTGCCCAAGGGTATTTAAGCAGGAGCAGACGGAGGACAAAACCACTAACCTTCTGATTAGTCGATGACCTGCTCATCCTCCTGAGCTACAGCCATCTCAATATTGATGACAAGGAGGACTTACTAGGAGATTATTGCATGGTCTAACCTAAATTTTATCCAGGAAAGTTGCATTTGCATAAATCAACTATTTCATGTGTTAAATTACCTACAGTTAGGTCCCCAAGGTTTTGGACAATGATGCATTATTTTTTTGTAATGTTGCCTCTGGAGACCACCGCAGTGGATTCTGAATCAAATATACAAGATGTATTTAAAGTGCAGAATTCAGATTTCACATTTGATGTATTCTGTATTTTTTTCTGTTCTATTATAAATACTATATATGTTTATGAGATGTGCAAATAATTCCATCTGTGGGTTTTTTGATGTTTTTTTGTTTTTTGTTTTTACACAGCTTCAGGGAATTGAGTTTGCAATTAACTAATCATTCTGCTGCTTCTAGTTCAAATGCTGGTCATCATTGAGATCCTATTTTCTATCTGAAAATTACACACACAAAAAAGGAGAATACTATATCAAGACATGTGGTTTCTTTCAGAATAGATTGAGAGTCTTTTCCTGGGAAAACAAAATCTCTGATGCGTCATTGCTGGCCTCTACTGGAGAAGGCACCACACACACCAGAATACAGCAGAACAAAATTAATTACAGCATGAATAAAGAAAAAAAAATTATATATTTTTCACTTTTTTCCAGTGTGGTGTTGTTAAAATAAATGACTGGATCATTTAAAATGTGCCATATGTTTCCATCTGTGTACATATTGTTTAAGTAATCTAAACAGAGAGAAAGGTGGGGAAAAAAACAAACTAATAAAAAACACAGTAGAATAAGCCAGAAAGGTAGAGGAGTGTCAACCTTGTTGCTGGAGAAGAAAGGACCCAAACGCAGGACTCGCGGGTTTATTGAGGATGTGGACGGTGTTTATTGTGAAGAGTCCAAAATGAAATAGTTCTGGTGGACGGCCACATGGCCAGAGGCTGAGACGAATCAGTTCACGTGGCAGCACCAGAGCCGACCTCGATTTTATGTTTTTTTTGTGTGATTTTAGATCAATTGTGTTAATATAGCATAGCACTGAAAAAATAACTGTAAATTCAGACATGTGAGATTGTGCTGAAAATAGTGATACCAAACAAGGCAAGGGGGAAAAAAGATGTAAAGGTAAAACAAGCAAGTTGTTAAAAGTGGCCAATTATACCCTGGACCCCAGAGGGTTCAATAACACCCAATATATCATGAAAAATTTGGTTCACATTTTTAGTGAAAAATGTATTCATGAAAGTGAATACATTACATGCCTGACATTTTGTGTAAATGTAAGAATGTAATAATGTGATTATTTTTCATTAAAAAAAATGAGTGTAAAATGTAAATTAGACTGTATTTTAAAAGAACCTTGTATTTTCTACAACAGTGTGTTTGTAACAGATGATCTTATTCAACCAGGAAGGTTCCTGCAATACAGAATTTGTGATTCCCATATGGTACATTGCAGAGACTAATAAGCTTTATTTTTTAACCTTTATTGTTGCAGTTACTGTTATCATAAGGATGTAGGTTACAGCCATTGCTCTAAGACTGTGTAAACAGGGCTTGGTGCTGCTTTATTTTGAAAAGCACATTAGTTTACAAAAAAGGCAGCTTTTTTAGTTTGCTAATATTAATGGGATGAACCATTTTCAGAAACGAATGTAACCCTAAGAACATTGGGCTAGATGTGGTCAGTAAGCCAGATTAATACAATACTATCAGCAAGTGGTCAGCCTGGATTCAGTGTGCACTGAAGGGGGCATTACAGACGCTGAAAGAATGATGAGGGGAGGAGTTTAGAGAAGGTGTGAGGATCAGTTATATTCTGCTCATAGTGCTGCCAGAGCTGCAGTTCTCTGCAGGTGTGTGGAGATGGAGACCCAGGACGAAGCAGAGCTCTGCTTTCCACAACTCTTCAACACCTCCTGCAAGAAGCCTAAAACATCTCTGTCTCAAGTTTTGCTCCCTTACGTTGTGGTGTTTTCAGTCTCTCTGCTAACAGTGGCTCTCAACCTTCTCGTCATTGTCTCAGTCTCCCACTTCAGGCAGAGATTTACTTTTTTAAACTTCTGCTGTGGCTACTACTACTACAACTTACTACTAATTACAACTAAATTTAAGTTAATTTATATCTTATGGGTAGACTATTATCGGACAATAATGTGCAAATCTATATATTCTATCTTCTACCCTTTCAACTGTCTACACTTTCGGATAGGACAGCTGTAATAATTTTGTTTGTTTAGATTGTTTTAGTATAGAAATAATGACTTGTTGATATTTCTCTCTCTTCTTTCAGACAGCTCCACACACCCACTAACAGCCTCCTCCTCTCTCTGGCTGTCTCAGACTTTCTCATTGGTCTGTTGATGATGCCGGCAAAAATCCTAGGAGACACAGCTTGTTGGTTTCTTGGTCAGCTCACATGTTCTCTGTATAGTTATATATGCTTCATCATTACCTCTGCCTCAGTGGGCATTATGGTGCTGATATCAGTCGACCGCTATGTGGCTATTTGTGACCCTCTGCATTACCCCACCAGAATCACAGAGAGAAGAGTGAAACTCTGCGTCTGTCTGTGTTGGCTCTGCTCTGTTATTTACAACATACTATTTATAAAGAACGACCTGCTTCAAGGAGAACGACATACTTCCTGTTATGGAGAATGTGTATTTGTCATAGACTACATTGTAGGAACCACTGATATTGTTTTAACTTTTATTGCTCCAGTTACTGTCATCGTTGTTCTGTATATGAGAGTATTTGTGGTGGCTGTGTCTCAGGCCCGTGCCATGCGCTCTCATGTTACAGCTGTCACACTGCAGCTCTCAGTGACTCTAACAGCAAAGAAATCAGAGATAAAAGCAGCCAGGACTCTGGGTGTTCTTGTTCTTGTGTTTCTATTAGGTTTCTGCCCATATTACATTGTTTCACTTTTAGGAAACGAGTTGTTCAACAGCTCATCTGCATCCATTGCGATTTATCTGTATTATTTTAACTCCTGTCTAAATCCTTTGATTTACGCTATGTTCTACCCCTGGTTTAGAAAAGCTGTGAAATTCGTTGTCACTCTACAGATACTGCAGCCTGGCTCCTGTGAGGTCAGCATACTGTAGAAGAAAGAGATCTTTCCAAAAAGATGTTTATGATTAAAACTGAACAACCAGCTGTTAAAACCCTTTCTGTCTCTTTAAGAGAACAAGGAGAATAAGGTGTATTGTTCACCTTATTAGGCATATTCTAAAAATTGGAAATTATTACATATCCAGGATATTTATGTTTATCCAGATCAATGACAGTTTCTGTAATCATTTTTAAAGTAATTCTGTATTTTTGTCTGATTCTGCAATTAAGAGAGGGAAACAGAGGGAAGGTGCTGTATCCTCCTGTTGAGGCCACTATTATTGATGCCATAGAAATAAAAGGGAAGTGTTTTTTTTCATTTGTTTGTTTTTTATTCAAATATAATCATTAATTGGTCACAATATTCAGAAACTGTTTCATGGTTCATGTCTTTTTTTCATTTTGTAAAAG